AATTTGGGCATCGCATGTGGCAAATACCAAATAGATGACTGTTGAGTTGCGACCGTCAGTGAAAAGTTGAGAGTCCCAGCCAGGCATATCGCAATATTTCAAAATGAAATTGTGGGAAAACATAGTTTGAAACGACTAATCAGTATTTTAGTTTGGCTCAAACATTTCTCAATGTAGGTTAATTGAGCGAACAACAGCATAGCCTATCTTATTGGCACCAGCAGAGAGCATCAGCCATATCGCTGGTGAGTGTGCACTGTGCATATTCACCCTTTATCATTGTTGGGTCAGTAACCACGTTGCCATCCACAGTTTTTAAGTGAGTAAAGTCATATTGTACAGTCGTGGTCAAAAGTTTTGAGAATGACACAAGTATTGGTCTTCACAAAGTTCGCTGCTTCGGTGTTATGAGATATTTTTGTCAGATGTTACTATGGTATACTGAAGTATAATTTCAAGCATTCCATAAGTGTCAAAGGCTTTTATTGACAATTACATTAAGTTTATGCAAAGAGTCAATATTTGCAGTGTTGCCCCTTCTTTTTCAAGACCTCTGCAATCCGCCCTGGCATGCTGTCAATTAAATTCGGGCCACATCCTGACTGATGGCAGCCCATTCTTGCATAATCAATGCTTGGAGTTTGTCAGAATTTGTGGGTTTTTGTTTGTCCACCCGCCTCTTGAGGATCGACCACAAGTTCTCAATGGGATTAAGGTCTGGGGAGTTTCCTGGCCATGGACCCAAAATATCGATGTTTTGTTCCCCGAGCCACTTAGTTATCCCTTTTGCCTTATGGCAAGGCGCTCCATTATGCTGGAAAAGGCATTGGTCATCACCAAACTGTTCTGGGATGGTTGGGAGAAGTTGCTCTCGGAGGATGTGTTGGTACCATTCTTTATTCATGGCTGTGTTCTTAGGCAAAATTATGAGTGAGCCCACTCCCTTGGCTGAGAAGCAACCCCACACATGAACGGTCTCAGGATGCTTTACTGTTGGCATGACACAGGACTGATGGTAGCGCTCACCTTGTCTTCTCCGGACAAGGTGTTTTCCAGATGCCCCAAACAATCGGATAGGGGATTCGCCAGAGAAAATGACTTTACCTCAGTCCTCAGCAGTCCAATCCCTGTACCTTTTGCAGAATATCAGTCTGTCCCTGATGTTTTTCCTGGAGAGAAGTGGCTTCTTGGCTGCCCTTCTTGACACCAGGCCATCCTCCAAAAGTCTTTGCCTAACTGTGCGTGCTGATGTACTCACACCTGCCTGCTGCCATTCCTGAGCAAGCTCTGCACTGGTGGTGCCCTGATCCCGCAGCTGAATCAACTTTAGGAGACGGTCCTGGCGTTTGCTGGACTTTCTTGGGCGCCCTGACGCCTTCTTCACAACAATTGAACCTCTCTCCTTGAAGTTCTTGATGATCCAATAAATGGTTGATTTAGGTGCAATCTTACTAACAGTAATATCCTTGCCTGTGAAGCCCTTTTTGTGCAAAGCAATGTTGACGGCACGTGTTTCCTTGCAGGTAACCATGGTTAACAGAGGAAGAACAATGATTTCAAGCACCACCCTCCTTTTAAAGCTTCCAGTCTGTTATTCTACCTCAATCAGCATGACAGAGTGATCTCCAGCCTTGTCTTCATCAACACTCTCACCTGTGTTAACGAGAGAATCACTGACATGATGGCAGCTGGTCCTTTTGTGGCAGGGCTGAAATGCAGTGGAAATGTTTTTTTTGGGATTAAGTTCATTTTCATGGCAAAGAGGGACTTTGCAATTAATTGCAATTCATCTGATCACTCTTCATGACATTCTGGAGTATACGCAAATTGCCATCATCAAAACTGAGGCAGCAGACTTTGTGAAAATTTGTATTTGTGTCATTCTCAAAACTTTTGACCATGACTGTATACAAAAAAATCACTACAGTTGTGATGGAAAAAGGAAGTTTCTGTGTAATTTTATAAATGCCGACAGACAATCAGATCATTTGTTCGTTTGACATGGTGGGATCTTTTTGTGTCAGTAAAAGTAATTATGAGGCAAATGGAGGTGGAAACGACTTTATGCGTAAATACTGATATAATCAGGGCCAGATTAATGAAAATATTTTTTTTTTGTGCAAATGTATTAAAAACAAAAACAACTTATTTACATACAGTCTGAATACTTATGTAGATAAGGTATTTATTTTTATTTTTTATGTGCAAAAATGTCTAAAAACCTGTTTTTGCTTTGTCATTATGGGGTATTGTGTGTAGAATGCTGAGGATTTGTATTTATTTAATCAATTTTAGAATAAGGCTGTAACGTCACAAAATGTGGGAAAGGTCAAGGGGTCTGAATACTTTCCGAAGGCACTGTATTGCCTGCTAATATTGTACAATATGTGTGTTGCTTCATTGGCCTGGGCTATTGTTTGTTTGAATTGAAGACCAGGTTGATGTCAGTCCCTTAATATAATAACCATCATATCTAAGTACATTTGGAGTCATGCCATGGTATGGTGTGTGGTCCGCCCACTATGACTCGGAAATCCATGCAGTTTATTAGGCTAAAGATTAAGTAAGTTATGATGAACTTCACAGGGTGGTGAAAGTGCACGGTGATGAGCTTGATGCTGCTTTCAATAGAAATCGAGGGTCTTATTCAGGTGACATGATGAGCGATGCTTGACTGCCGTTTGACAAATACAAATATTCTCGCTCTTATCCTGGTCCTCTGTAGCTCAATTGGTAGTGCACGGCGCTTGTAACGCCAGGGTAGTGGGTTCGATCCCCGGAACCCACTACGCAAAAAATGTGCGCACATGACTGTAAGTAGCTTTGGATAAAAGCGTCTGCTAAATGGCATATTATTATTATTATCCATAATATGTCAATGTAGACTACCCACACTGTATCTTTGAGCTGTTGGCTAGAGCGCAGGTGCCAAGACCAGAGTAGGCACATTTGCTATTTAAGTAACCGTTTTTGTGACAACTCAGTTGTACAGTTGAAAATGAGATGGAAACACATTGAACTTTAGATTTTTATTCGATACATGAAAACTTTAGCGAAAAAAATACATTTTGTGTGCACTGCCATCACGCACTGATTTTTATCCGCAACAAAGTCCGTTTGTTGGAAACATGCCACTGGTGGGAAAATGCACATATTTTCTTTAGGCGGATTCTAGAATATTTGCATGAAAATCTGTCACCAATTGGATGAAAACCTACCTACAGCCATTTAAACGTTTGTTTTTGGACAATCATTTCCTCCTCCAGTTTAGATGGAGGTCATATTCTATCTGTGTCTCCCCTTCTCCTAGCCCTATTATATGGACAACGTTGTTTTGATTGATCTGTTATGTCAGTATCAGCAGAGTAGGCTACCCTGTCATTTGTTGTATTAAAAATGATTCCGCTAACGTCTCCAGTCATATGAAGTGGAGTAGAATTGCATGTAATGTGTTAATACAATAAAGAAGAAACGTATCTGATATAGCCTATCGCCCAGGCTTCTACACTATCTGCGCTCAGCCATGCATTCAACAGTCTTTTTTGCAAACAGTGGTCCTCTGTAGCTCAGCTGGTAGAGCATGGCGCTTGTAACGCCAAGGTAGTGGGTTCGATCCCCGGGACCACCCATACACAAAAATGTATGCACACATGACTGTAAGTCGCTTTGGATAAAAGCGTCTGCTAAATGGCATATTATTATTATTATTATTGACTAGCCAATTATGACTATCCAATCTACTCATCACATTTGGAATGGTAGGGTATCTGCAAATACAATGATGCATGGAATACTTTATTATAAAGGTGCATTTATATAGATACTTTTGTACCCGTTTCCTCCAGCATCTTCACAAGGTCCTTTGCTGTTGTTCTGGGATTGATTTGCACTTTTCGCACCAAAGTACGTTCATCTCTAGGAGACAGAACACGTCTCCTTCCTGAGCGGTATGACGGCTGCGTGGTCCCATGGTGAAGATTTCTCCCAAGGATTAACCAGATTTGTGGAGGTCTACACATTTTTTTTCTGAGGTCTTGGCTGAATTCTTTAGATTTTCCAAAAGAGGCACTGAGTTTGAAGGTAGGCCTTGAAATACATCCACAGGTACACCTCCAATTGACTCAAATGTTGTCAATTAGCCTATCAGAAGCTTCTAAAGCCATGACATCATTTTCTGGAATTTTCCAAGCTGTTTAAAGGCACAGTCAACTTAGTGTATGTGAACTTCTGACCCACTGGAATTGTGATACAGTGAATTATAAGTGAAATAATCTGTCTGTAAACAATTGTTGGAAAAATGACTTGTGTCATGCACAAAGTAGATGTCCTAACCGACTTGCCAAAACTATAGTTTGTTAACAAGAAATTTGTGGAGTGGTTGAAAAACAAGTTTTAATGACTCAACCAACCTAAGTGTATGTAAACTTCCGACTTCAACTGTATGTGCACACATTCGCGAGAGTAGAATGAGCGAGACTTCATGTTTCATACAAAATAAATGTGCTTTTATTTTGAAGTAGAAAAAGACAACATCTGTACATTTTATATAAAACAACATTGTGCAAACTGAAACCTTTTCAGAGATAGTTAAAGTGCCTTTTACAGTATTTATTTGGGAGTTCACCAACAGCATAGTACATAGTCCCACCAAACCATCCAAAGGCTTATAATATAATATCTTATAATAGTATCATTGTATAGATCCACTTTCCCGTGCTCCTGAAGCATGTATGTTGGATCCAGGTGAATTACGTTGGACCTCTGTGATTGCATCAGAGTGGATGGTCTTCATGTTAGTTGGAGGATGAGGCACATGTTAAGATGATACAGTACGTCAGGTTTTATTCCAGCTGATTCCAAAAATGGCTGCCTTCTGGAACAGTACATTCTCATTGCTTCTTATCTGAAGTGCAAGTGGTGATGATGATGTTCTCTACTGGTGTTTCACGTATATTGGGGCAGTCTATGTAGCTGTGTGTGTGTGTGTGTGTGTCTCCATCCTACACGTCGACAGGCCTGTGTGTGTTGTGTCTGTGAGGACAGCAGGCGTGCAGCAGCACCAATCGTATGTCTCTGTTCCTCAGGCTGTACAGCAGAGGGTTGAGCAGAGAGTTCCCCGCCGCCGGCACCAGCGTAGCGTACGTATACAGGGGTGAGCTAGATGCATCGCCCAGCAGACCGTAGAGGGCGAAGGGCGTCCAGCAGCTGACGAACACTCCGAGGACTAACAACAGCCGAGAGAGGCCCTTACCCCGGCCCCCGTGCTTGCTGGCATACGATTGGTCGTCAGGCAGGAAGTGCCTCTGCGTGGCGATGGCGTGGGCGTGCCTCCTGGCGACGCGGCAGATCCCGGTGTACAGCTGCAGCGTGACTATGACAACCAGAAGGAAGCCACCGCAGAGCAACGACAGGTATGTCCGGGTCAGGGGTCGCGCAACGGAACAGGATGTGATGTCATCGAGGCAGTGCCACCCCAGCACCGGCCCCGAGCCAATCAGACATGACCCCAGCCAGACGAGTGCCAGAAGACCAGTGACGCAGCGGCGCGAGTGGCGGGAGCCGTAGGTGAGGGCGTGGCTTAGAGACAGGTAACGATCCAGGGCCACGCCCATCAGGCTGAGGAGGGAGGCCGTCAGTGATGTCGCCAGCAACCCTGACGTCATCAGCTCCGACCAATCAGTGGGCTCCACGCAGAACAGGAAGAGGAAGTGGATGATCAAGGCCACGCCCGCCAGCAGGTCGGCCAATGCCAGGCTGGCGAGGAGCAGGAAGACAGGAGCACGGAGAGAAGGCGTGGCCAAGATGGCAGCCACTACGATGGTGTTCTCTGACACGATGAGAGTTCCCGATACGCACAGTGCCACTCCCCATAGGCTGAGAGGAGAGATCTCAGGCACGGCCGTGGGATCTGATTGGTCCAGCAGGGAAAGGTGCGAAGACATCCCTGAACCTGAAGACTCCTCGAACCAGACGTCAGAGTCATTTTGGGTCATTATGGGTCAAACACACCACACCTGAAAGAGAGAGAGAGAGAGAGAGAGAGAGAGAGAGAGAGAGAGAGAGAGAGAGAGAGAGAGAGAGAAGAGAGAGAGGAGAGAGAGAGAAGATAGCCGAGAGAGCACTAGCTAGATAATAGCAGCATATCTATCGCTCTAGCTATCTAGGATTATAGCGCGAGATCGATCTATATCCGAGAAGGTATACACAATGTTATACACTTGTCACTGTACTAATAGTAGCATCTCTTCCTCTCCTTCTGTCTTCCCTGCATGTGAGTAGTTGATCTACATCATCGTACTCTTACATTAGCACAGCAGACAGCCACCCTGCGCTGGGGCTGCATCTCAATAGTCTACAGTGGCTTCCTCTCCTGGGTCTTAGGCCACTACGCCATCTGCCAAGAGGTCCGGGTCTTCATGGCACAGGAGGGAGGGCACGTGAACTGCTGGTCCAACTCAAACTGCTCTCTCAAAGGAGAGACTCAGCATGCTCCTCACATTGCTATGTACCTTCCATTCCATTACCTGATCTCTACTCTTCTCTCTGAAATGTTCACCCCCCCCCCCTCATGGATCTAAAAGGTATAGAAAGCAACGTAAGGTGAAAAATCCCTGTCTTGCCTATGTCTTGCCTACGTCCATCCAATGCTTTAAAATCCATGAGGGGGAGTGAACGAGTGCACACTCCAGGGAGAAGGGGGAGAAGTCAGAGAATTGGACTGCAGCCCTTCTCCTGTCTCCTCTCCACTCTTCTCCTATAGTGCTGTGTGGAGTGTTTTGTAACAGATTTCCAGCAGCTTGGAACACCATGTCCAAATGCTCTGGCTCTGATAAATCATTTGACGTTTACAAAATCTACACATTACATACCCCCCCCCCCCCCCCCACACACACACACAGACAGACACTGCAAAATATCTTACCTTCTATTAATAAAAATGCCTTGATCACGATTCTTCCAAATCAGCTCTGTTCACAGAGCGTTCAGGAGACAGTGATGCCGTAATACTGTCCTTGTGTCTCGGTATATCGGTATATCGATGGTCGGTAATATCTCAGTAAGGCTGACTGTCCCCATCAGAGTAATAACATATCCTCCGTTTCTCCGGTGGTGCGAATGCCAGAATGACTGGATGGATCTAATGCGCGCAGGGTCCTTCACTAGGGAAGGTCTGACTGACGTCAGTGGTGGTGGGCTTCAGCCAATGAGGTGCTCGGAGAGACGGGGGTGTGGGGGTGGGATGGGGGACTCCTGTAGAGGAATTTCATTCAGAAAAATGCGACAGCTTCCCGCCCCTCCCACTGCGGCTTGCCTCGTGCGTACCTTTCCCGTAAACTCCTTCCGACACACACACACACACACACACACACACACACACACACACACACACACACACACACACACACACACACACACACACACACACACACACACACACACACAAACACACACACACACACACACACCACAGTAGAGATTTTGATCAATGTGAATCAATAAGATTTGGAGAGAGGGCTCACGCCTTGAGGAGCTGCCCAAGGTGCTGAAACACAGCTATCTGCTAGAAATTGCTTTAATCGATTGTTTTGATTGTTTTTGTGTGGGTATTAAATAATACAATAAGTATACATTTGACCTCATATTTTGTAGTTTTCTCTGTTTGCGTCATTCAATAAGCAAGAGCAAAAAATGTATGAATAGGCTGCATAGGTCTACAGTCCCTATGTGAGTCACTGGCTGCATAGGTCTACAGTCTCAAGGTGAGTTACTGGCTAAGCACCGCTTGTCTCGGATGAATCATGCATTATTGTTTGATAAAATACTGAGTAGGCTAGCCTATATATCTATCTCTCTAGGCCTACAATGTCATGTGTTTTGAAAGGTATGAAATCAATATTGTATCATTATTATTATTATTATTATTATTATTATTATTATTATTATTATAGGGTTATTATCTATTTTGAATCATGATCAGCTGATTGGTTAAGTATGTAGGATATCAGATGAGCGATGATTGATAGACATATCGGGGAAACCCAGTCATGGATGATATACCTGGTATGGAGGATTCTCGGTTTCCCCGGTAATAAAAAACAGCTTGCGTGGGCTGCAGTGGTTGCTGTGATGTGTCTGCGTGGTTACGCACAGGCCACGGCACTGCGCATAGAGGGGGATCCTCTTCCTGTTGTTGCCATAGAACCATACAAGGAAACTGACTTCCGGTTCTCTTTGGGAGAGAAAAGATCGATACCTCACAAAGCATTATGTCATTTACACATTAGAGGGAAGAAGAGCGAGAGAGAGAATTAGTTAATGCCGGGAAATGCTGCCTCATTCATCTCCCTCTTTGTTTTTATTTATTTATTTTGACAATACAATAATTAGATGCAGTGTTGCACCACAGTAGGCCTAACCCGCTGAGCTAAAGCCTAGGCAACAACTAGGGGAGCTAATGCAAGTTTTCAGGTTTCAGGCAAGATTAACCTACAAATCCAGTGAATGTGGTTCACCCCCTGTTACACTACCTTTAAACACCTGATGAGCTTTCAGACAGAAGAAGATAACTGTGTATTTACCAGTAAGACACCGTAGAGAAGAGACACCGATTCATTACCGGCTGGCCGCCCTCAGGTGGAGTTTATGAGCCGTTAACAGGAAGCTTGTGCTGCCGTGACTGCGGATTTTCCTCGGTTATCTAACACACACACACACACACACACACACACACACACACACACACACACATACTGCCCATCCTCCAACACACACACACACACACACACACTTTGACTCTGCAGCACAAATCAACGTGTGGTTTGTGAGAATGTGTGAGAAGAGGGTTGAGGGTGTAGAGTGGGAGAAGAGATGAGGAGAGTAGGTTGGGTTGTCTGTGATGAATGTAATGCAGAGGGTTTTATGAGGTGACGGGGACGTAAAGCTAGTTATTCATTGCAATGTGCTTGTGCGTCAATCAATATGTTAATTATGCAGTTAGAAAAATTGCAATGTAAAGACAGGAATTTACAGCACTTACACAGTCACAAATAAAAATGCATTTGACAAAACATACTGTACGTGTGTCCTTGTGTGTCTGTACACTACATGTGGCGTCTGTGTTGTCGGAATGTTAATCATTGTGTGTACTGTGTGTGTGTGTGTGTGGTGTGTGTGTGTGTTTGTGTGCACATGTCTGTGTGTGTGTGCATACATATGTGTGTGTGTTTGTGTTCCTGTGTGCATGCTTGAATGCATGTTTTCGTGTGTGTGTATCAGAGTTCCAGGGCTCTGAGGTAAACAGGTGTCACTGTCTCAGTGGTGTGTGTTTCAGGGTGGGGGGGCAAAGCGGAGGGCGGTTGCTAGGTAACCAGGTAGACTAGGGTTCGAATTACACCGGTTCCTGTCTCTCCCTGTACCAAATGCAGACATCTATTTTCTCCGCCTCATCTTCTCTTTCCTAAAGCTAGAAACCCATCTCTTTTTTGTTGAGTTTGAGGCCTCTGCGAGGGAAGGAATATACAACCAACTGAAAAGTATTGCATCTTACATTTGGAACCTTTTGGAACTGTCTAGAACCTTCCAGAACCTTTTAAAACGTTAGAACTTTCTGATCCCTGTTGACATCTACTGGGAGCCACCTGAGGAACTGAAGCCACTTTTTCGCTTTTCTCTGACTAGTCTGTGGTCTCTACTGGTCTGTACTGGTCTGTACTGGTCTTAACTGGTCTGTAGTGGTCTGTACTGGTCTGAACTGGTCTGTAGTGGTCAGGATGCGAGGGTTAGAGCTAAAGGCCCTCTGTGCAGCATTGCTGGTCTTTGCAGTGGTGAGCGCCTCTTCCTGTCAGTCGGACTCTTCAGGTAGGCGTGTGTGAGTGTGTCTGTGTGTGTGGTCTGTCACTCCATGAACTTCCTGACACTCGACTTGGAACCCCTCTGTTCTTTTTGGCTACACTTCCTTTTATAGTTTTGTTTCCTCCTTTCCTTGCACTCTCTTCTTCATGACATGTCATCTGAAATGACATAAAATGTGTAAACAAATGTAACATTGGTAGTTTGATCGACAATGCTCAGACCTGAAGGACTGTAGTCCCCCAATGCCTAGGGATTAGCTCAGTGGGCTAACACATTCTTTTCTCCATTTTGATTTGGCTTTTTCTGTGTCCCATCTAATATTGGTTGTGTTTGTTGGATGATACACATTTTGGGGGCTGAAGGTTTTTGTGACAAAATTTCAAGTAATCTTCAATGACGCTTTGAGTCCTGGTATGAGGTTTGATCTTGAAAGCAGAGGTCATTCCTGAGAGGGTGTGGGTTAGTCTACCCTGGCTGATTGATTGACAGCTGTCTCCTCCAATAGACTGCTCCCAGGCTGAGTCATGTGACCTGTGTGTTGGAGACTCCACCCTCAACCTGACTGGCTGCGTCTGGAGGGTCTGCGTGAACGGTGAGAAATAAACAGATGAAATGTGCATAAGAGGAATCCTAGCTTCTATTCTAAGGGTTTTAGTGTAAATAACAGTGAAAAGGGGGACAGACAGACAGACAGACAGACAGACAGACAGACAGACAGACAGACAGACAGACAGACAGACAGACAGACAGACAGACAGACAGACAGACAGACAGACAGACAACATATCTTCTAAAAATGTGTGGCAGTTTCATCTGTTAGTTTTTCTCCCTCTCTCTCATGAGCGCTCACACAGGGCTCTCTGAACTTTTATACTGCCCTCTCCTGATGAAGCCCACAAAGGACACACACACACACACACACACACACACACACACCACTACACATTAACCCTGCCATAACACACC